TTTTTTTTATGTTTTATGAATAAACACGATGTTTTGGAAATATTTATCAAAAGAAATTTATACTATGTTGCGAATTACAATTTCGAGATAACCTTCTTTTATTTACGAACTTATGTCTTTGATGCTGAAATTGACAACTTTATAAAAATACATTTTCACTGAAATTATGAAATCTGGGTGTCGGAAAGGTGTAAAATGATTCTTCGGAAAAGAAAAAAAACAGTAGTTGAGCTAGATAAGAAATTATACGGGGGCAGGCTCCTATGGAGAATTAACATTACTGGAAACAGGCCCTTTATCTAGTGCAAACCATTTTCTGTTCATTCTTCTTCTTCAATGTACACCCTTTATGTCCTGTTTTCATGTCAACTATTATTCTTTGCATCAAAATCTCTGCAACTGATGTTTGTTTTAATATTAACAGAAGTTCTTTTAATTTACCAAGGCTTTTGAAGGTGTTAACATCAAATTGCTAGAGTGTTGTAACACTGATCTGTCCTTAACTCATTTGACCATTAGGGCTCTTTTGACATCTTGTTTTCTTACCATTATTCTACAACAATATAGAACAAGGTTTGAAGCTGATAATAATTACACAGTACATGCAGAAAATCCACCTGCCTAGGTGACTTAAATTTATTTTTTTTATTAATTCTTAATGTTACTAGTTACTTCTTAAAGCTGAAAACACATGCTTTTTCCTCAAAGTTCACTTGTCTCTTTTAATCAATGAAATAAGAAATATATAAACAATCATTATGGCTTCAATTTTGCAAAAAGGCTTTAAATTCAGGTTCATTTCAGATTATAACGGACACTGGTAATTTATCCAGACTCGTCGAACACTTTTTGCTTTCATTGAATTTTTCTTAACTTATTATGACGAGAAATAGCAATGTCAATCTTAGATAGAATTTTATTTTATTGTTAAGGTGAAACGCCATGTAAAGAACCACAAATGGGTTATAGCGAACAATCTTTTTCTATACCCAAAATATTCCAGAATTTGCTGAAAAAATGTTCCTTGATGTTTTTATAAGCAACACTTGAACTGAACTACATGTGTGATGATTGTTTACCTCTGATTTTTTTTTATATTAAAGCAGATTAATATATCAAAAAAAGTGTTGCTTAACAAGAAAATGAAAAATATCCTAGTTAATTATCAGTTCTCCACATCTAATGTTTTCCCGCTATTTTGATGAAATTAACGGTTCTTGGGAGAATGATTAAATGGTTAACTCTTTACTTAAACAGGTGAGGAAATGGTAGTGTATATGGAAAAAGATGTGATAAAGGAAGCTAAAAAAACAGACGAGGCCTACTACCAATGTATTGCCAAAGCTATTGAAATAGAAGTTAAAGGCAAAGCTGTTCCATTAGAAGTGGGTAAGTATATAAAATAGAGATATACACATTTTTGTTATAACTTTAGGGTAAGTGTTTTATTTCTATATGAAATATATAAAATATTCAGATGGCTTAAAGGTAAAAATAATGGATCCGGAGCAATGGCCGATTACAATCAACCTCAAGGAATAGAGGCTTCCCAGGGAAATAACTCAAATACGTATAGTTCATAATATGTACTCGCGTCAACATAACTATAAAAATAACGGGAACATAGCATTACATTTCATGTATGTTTACATTATAAGTTAACATAATTTATATATGTATATGTTGTTTTGTTGGTGTATTATTGAGCCTTTTGGGGTCTTTTAGGGTCTTTTTGGTGTTTTGGTGTCTTTTTTGTCTTTTTTTGGTATTTTGGTGAACTCCAGTGCACAATCATGTAAACTCCAGTGTACACGCTTGTTAACTGAAGTCAACATACTTGTGCAATAGAGAGCACTGTGGTTAAATACAGTGCACACTCAGTTCAGATTGCGAATTTCCCCCTGCCTTTCCGCTTTAAAATATATTATATGTTATACTGTCATACATAAAATATTGAACCAGTTACCTTACAACATAAATTTATATAGTTCTCTAATTATATAGCGGTCTGCTGTCAAAAAACATAGGCACTGAAACCACAGTCAAACTTCATTATATTTTTCTCAGTTTGTACCTTAACAGGCGCGGATCAAGGAGTGGCGGGACGAGAGGCTATTGGTCCTGGTAGAGTAAATTAAAATAGATGGGGTAGGTGGAGGGGAGGGGAAGGTAAGAACCAATTTCGTTATATTTAATAGTCACTGTATCACGAATTAAAAACTTGGGGGTGTTTTTTTGGGGGGAGAGGGATATATATATCTATGTGGGGATGCTCACAGCTCAACATGAAAACACTTTTGGCGTTACAGGAAGTGAAGTTATGTAATTTTCCCCAAACTCAGCAATGCTTTACTTTGGAAAGTTTCAAGTTAAAGAATCTCCATAATTATGGAATGTTTGTGAAAACGGGTATGGTGATGGTACTCTTCCTTGGAAGCTGCCCCACCTATTCCAATATCTTGATAAATGACATCATGTCAGACCTAGACAAAAATATATTATAATACACCAATGAGAGTGGTACATGCATTTATCAGTCCAGTCGTCATGTGAACAGCTTATTAAAAAAAGTATCATCCGATCTGGTGAAAAATAAACTTACATGTACGTAACGTCAATCGCTCGATAACTCCGGTTTCTGATACTTTCCACCATGTTACTGGCTAAGTGATACTTATTGGTCAGCTGAAAAAGGTCAATTATCTTTTTCATTGAACCACGTAAGTTCAGAGGGAACCAAGACCAGAAACGCTTAAATGAGTATTAACACTTTATGATTACCACACACAAAAAGGGCACTCCATAAACAGACTTACTATAGATAATAAAGAAATGCACTCTATTTTCTCAGGAAATTAATTGTGACCCTCATACTAAATGAATTGATTTAAAAAAACACCTTACACAATGTAATGGAAACTTGATATCGTTATTAAAGTTTTTAAAGGACTTCAATACTTTTATTGCACTAGATCAAGTAATTCTAAGCAGTATATTTATTTACCTTGGTAAAGGCACAGTTGAGAAATGAAGGTTTGCCTGTGGCTGTCACTTCCTGACCAATAGACAGCCACAGTATCTTACCTGCAGGTGGGTACTGTGTACTGATTAACCTGTATACAGCTGTACAGACAACGAGTTGGATTAATTGACATGGGATTATACTTTTAATTCACACAAGGTGACCTTGATACAGCCAATCAAAATTAAATGTGACAAGATGTATAGATATCATATTGAACACGAAAATATCTGTCAGCAGGTGGTCATATGCCTTTGCGACCTTTCAATCTGCCAATGCAGTAATGCTGTAACTGTTTGATTAATACTTGAGGTTCCCTGTTATTTAAAAACATTGATACTTTATGTTATTGCGTTACAAGAAACAAGATGTCATGATTAGATAATCAGTCAACTAATTCATTTGTGTGACACTTGTTGTTTGTACCCATGCATCAATGAAGTTTGTCATCACTTAAGAAGGGGCAAATCATTACCACATGGCAAGCTGTAAACCCATCACATGTAACTACTATTTAAATGAGTAAATGACCACTTATCTACTGGTTTGGCTTAACACACTGTCAGCCCATGGGCGTTACTCCTTGTTGTTTTGTTGTTGTATTTGTTGTATCAGGAAAGAACCAATTTATTTTGAAGGATTATTGAAATCAATAATTCAGTCTTTTAAACTATGGCAAACCACTATTGTGCACTGGATACGACATCGCAGTGCACTGGAGATAACAATGAAGGGAACTGTAGTCCGTTACAATGTCTTGCGTACTACCATGCTTACGCCGTATGCACTTCAAAATGTACTAGATACCAAGTTAAGTTTGCTCCCAAATGTATATCTGTAAATATTTGTATTGAGTAGCGCAAGTGACATCTAGTAAATACAATAGCGGTCTTCCGTAGTGACTGATACAAACCCTGTAGACGTCACATGCTTTCTTTTTATGCAAATAAGCTTAAGGTCAGTACTGAACTCTACTGTACTATGTGATGCTTTCATAAAAGAAAGTAAGGATATCTTGTTGTACATATTTTTTGCTTCTTGCAAATCCTGAAAAATAAATAGGTTCATTATCCTTCTCGTAGATTCGGATGAGGAGAGAGGAAGCAATATCCATGGAACACATCGATCTCACTCTTCAGCATCTTCAGGAACAGGAGTGTCGCACAATAATAGAAACAGCAAATCGAGCTCTCGTTCACAGGACAAGCACAGGTACGAACAGATATATTATAATTATCTATATTACAGCCTTTGTTGTACTTCTATTTCCACATTTTAGAAAAAAACATATTTAACACACTTAGACGGTTGCAACATTAAGCATGTCAAAGTGAATAACCGAAAAAAAAAACCCAGAAATATCGACGAAAATATTCCAAAAGTATGTTTCATCTAGGACATCTCATCCTGTTTACTATTATACTATGTACACGTTAACATTGTATAATCAACTCCGAATAACTTTATTTTAAATTTTCAAATGTATATAATGTTCAGATTCCTTGCTATAAAGATCTTTAAGATGGAGGGCACTATGATCATAGGCAGTGAGTTACATCTCATCTACGTGTGATCGATATTAAGGTCACTTCTATTTCCGATATGTGCTAGCTTCTACCGTTTTCCCTGAGCCGGGTAACAATGGGGCGTCGGCGGGGTTTCCGTCTGTGTAGATCCACATGCAGTGGACCGACCTGACTCAGAAACAACTTTCACTGAAGACGAAACGAGCTTGGGTTTTGGCATTGGTTGGAATACTTGTGATGGCGTGGTTCTCTTCAGCTAAGACCTTCCATTTGACATGTCCCCTTAGCCACACTACGACTAGAGGTTTTGTCCTTGGAAGTGGACGGCTCTTCTTCATCTGAAAACGCATCCCCTATCAAACTACCGGAAGCTTGTTACTCATGGTATGTTTCAGTTCCTGATGTCTGCGGAAGTCATCTGGTTTATCAGCTCCGTGGGAGCAACCGTCTATGATGTACTCATTTTTATCGACCTTGTTGTCTTTGTAATACAACATAACATGAGTTTCCCAGTAGTCTTCCCTTTTAAACAGTTTCTTACATACAGTTTCTAGTGGTTTGCTTAGTTTTGGCCACCCTGCAAAGATACAAAGAGAAGATGGGTTTAGGCTAAATTCATAGCGTTACAGGTACATTTTATTTAAAAACACACACGACTTAGTGGTCCTTGAAATCGACTTGGTGATCCTTGAATCATCCGGGTCGCTTCATGTGTCTACATGTAACAGGTCTTCACCTATTGCTATCATCAACATTCCCAAACTCAGTATTTGCCTCTGTCCTGTCACTCTCTACCTTACTTTTAGGTCGAGCGATGGTCGAGGCGTTTTTCCTTACCTCGCAACACATGACCACTATGATGACGTATCCGGTCGCTGTGAACACATTGTGGTTTTCCTCTGAGTGCACAATCTACCTTATACAGCACCTCAGAGATCTTTTGCAGTATCTTTCATGGGCCTTTCTAAAACAATGCGAATGTCTAGCTTGTTTTTTCTTTAAACTTGTTCCATGAGACAACCTCTCAACCATACCATCTTATGGTGAATGTCACGTTGTTGTTCTTGTCTGTAATAGGTCGCACATCTTTGATCACTTTCCCCGCAAACTGTCCACTTTGGTCTGCTATAGGAAACGCTTCTGTCCATTTCCTGAAATAGTCGGATATGACGAGAAAGTACCTGTTACCATCATTAGTTTCTTGTATATCTGTCATAATATCGAATAATAATTGGAATACCAGTGTGTACAACTTTTGGTCTTGGAAGGATTCTTTCGCTTGATACACTTCGTACATCCAGCGACATACCTCTGTACGTCCTTTTGGAGTCCTTGCCAAAAGTATCTCCGTCGTACTTTTGCAGGATTCTTGCTAAAGCCAATATGTGCCCCGTACCAATTATCATTTAATCCTTTTAGCAGTTTTCTTCTTTCTGCTAGAGGAACAATCCTTTTTGTCCTGGTGGTGTCCATACTTTACATAGCAAATCTTGGTTTGCTGGTTATAACTCCCATTGGCTCCTTAAACACTTCCAGACGAAGTTTTGTAATGCGATGTCCTTGCAAGAAGGTTTCCTGCCGGACTCTACCCACTTAAGTACCAAATATTTGTCCCTGCTAGCCTGTTGTACTTCAAGCATCGTAGTAATATCGTCACCATCTAGGTCCGCGTTCACCACTCAAGGCTGAAGAGTCGTTCTCTCTGTTGTTTGGCCATCCACATTGTTAGCAAAGGTATCGGCTAAATTCATCAGCGTTCCAATGCTGGATGCCTGGACGATGCTCCACCTTCACTTCATTCTGACTGATGACCTCCATCCATCCAGCGAGTTGTCCAACCGGATCCTTAACGTTAGTCAACCATTTCAGAGAACTGTCGTCAGTCCGAACTATGAAGGCCCTGCCGAACAAGTAATGACGGAAGTGTTTTAGGTACTGTACAACCCTAAACAAGTCTCTTTTGGTAACACAATAGTTTCGCTCACTTTTATAGATTGTTTTGCTAGCATACGCAGTTGGCCGTTCCTATCCATTCCTGACCTGGGGAAGCACTGATCCTGAGGCAACCCGCTAGCAGCTGTGTCCAGAATAAACGTTCTCTCGGAATCTGGCAATGCGAGAATGGGTTACTTGATAAGCATGTTCTTCAATTAGATGAAACCAACTGAACATCATTCCCTTTTCTGAAGACCGGTTTAACAGTTTTATAACCGCCACGAAGCCTTGTATGAATCGCCGGCACTAGCTGCATAGACCAATTAATGATTGCATCTAGGTCAAATTCGTTAATCTTGGCCAATCACTCACTTTTGCGATCTTCTCATTGTCAGTTGACAATCCCATTCAGAGATGACATGTCCAAGCCACGTAACCCTCTTAGAAAAATGAAACCATTTATTGGCAATGCGTTTTAATTTTGCAGCTCCCAGATGATCAAATACTTACGTCGACTATATCGTCCAGTTATATCAAACAAATGTCATAGTGCAAGAGTATGAGTTTCCGCTCCATCAGCTGTACAAATATGGCTGGTGCATTGCTTAGTTTGCATATAAATAGTTTCACTAGATGGGGGTAGACAAATTTCTCGATAATGGCAACCCTTTTATCGCCATAGGAACCTCCAAAGGGCAATTGGGCGTTACTATCATGAATTCTCAGTAGTCCCTTAGTAACGTCTACCATGCAGCATTTTTTATCATGAAATATAACTATAGCAAGCCGTTTGTATTCAGATCAGCAATCACAGTGTCATTTTTACCTTGTTTGATCCTATTGAGATTAGTAGCTTCCCTGTAACCATAACTTCTAGCTTGCTAACTTTATTGACCTAAACATGACACCCAGTTTCAGTTTACCATCTTTCTCAATCATGTCAAGAATAGATTCGTGTTTCTGTAGACCTGTTGTCGAACAAAAATATTTACCTTCACGCCACTTACTGTGGCCTGTATGTATAAACCGGAGTCACATGCTGCGTTGACCCCTACTCCTAAAAAGCTATCCGCATGGGCTTTAGCGTCAACGGGCTTGTCCTCTGTATTTGATTTTTTTCTTGCACAGTTCCTGGCGATATGACCATGTTAGGCAGACGAAAAGCATTTAATATTTGAATTGTGAGTCTTTTCTTTTCGTGTTTCATTGTACCATGTCTTATAATTTATGGCCTCCATTAAAGTCATCATGTTTTCCTGAAGCTATTGCATTATTCTGTTGAGTGCCGCTATACCCCTTAACTGGTCAACTTGGTTCTCGTCGACAGCTGTCAATTTCGAGTAATGAATTTGTTGGCTTTGTTGTAAGCTTCAAAGTTCACAGCAAGTTGTACGGTTTAATTGAACGTGTGTGGTCTGGATTGTTTGATGCGCACGCGCAGATCAGAATCGCTTAAGGAGTCTATAAACTGTTCCTTCACCAACGTTTCCCGTGAGTCGTTAATTGTTGTTGGCTTGCCAGTCCTAATTATTCTTACCCTTTTTATCGCTTTTATTTTAACTGAGCTCTGTTTACGTAAGTGATTTGGCTTTGTTGGGGATGGTAAGTAAGTCCAAAGTCGGAGTGCTTGTCCTTGTTCTTGTAATAATTCTGACCTTTTTGACGCTTTTCTTTCAACTGCATGCGTCCAAATGCGTGCAGTAACCTAACCAGGAGTCCGTTCAAACATATTTTTAGGTTAATGTTTTTTACCTATTTTCGTCTTATCGCTTAAGTTTGATATAAGCTGTGTTCTATCTCAACGCTGACGGGCTCGGTAGCTGTCTTATACGTGTTGTTTTCCCGTTAATAGGCCGATCGCATTTTCAGGATCATGTACGTACATATAAACTAGCGGTGGAAACGTTTCTTCTATCCTGTGGATTTTTTGTTTGCCTCCGGGGATAGCTTTTGTTTTATTACTATACAAATGTATCGCTAACTACCTCCTTAGCGATATCACATAACTATTAATTCAGAATAAATCATAACTATAAATATCCACAAAGTTGACGCATACGTCATATCTGGCTTATGAACCCTAACATAATGCCCGACCACGCAGGTTTTCTCCGGATACTCCAGCTTCCTCCCACATTAAGAATTAAATCATCTGCGTGCTTCCGTCAGGGCACAAAAAGACTGATTGAGATAGGTTTGGGAAAAAACTGTTTGGTAGTTGCTATAGAAAAAGTGAATATTACATATTTGACAATTAGTCTAAGTAAATGTATAGAGATGTGAGATAAAACTAAAATTAAAAAGGACACATTGTAATACTTTGATGTAACTGAGATTGTCGTTATATCGTTATGTAGTCTCAATTCCTGTTCCATCCTGAAACACCGTATTGAATATCAAATTTTGTAACTATCACCGAGGTTTGCCAGGTAATGATGCCAAAAAAAAATGTAACAGTTTCTGTCTGTAACTAGTTATAAATCGGCACGCGTTGTGAAAAAGTAATACGTTGTTGAAAAGGGGCGTTGAACTCGGGTTGGTTGTCTGGAACATTATTGTTAATTTCGTCATAAATGCATTAACCATTGTTTCTTTTACGAGCGGTGGTGCATAAATAAAGTATGTAAAGTCTATAACCAGACTTTCAAAAATGTTAATTTTTTCGTTCATATTCTCAACAAATGGAAATCAAAAGCTGATGATTTTTTTAGATGATGAACACATAAATGTACACGTTGACCTATTGGTTTAATGCCGGCTCTTTTTGAAGATATCTCCCGGTAGAAATATTAACAGAACCTGGTTGATGACAAAAAGGATCTCCAGAAAATATCCCCATTTTTACTTTTTGTGCCAGTGACAAAAACTGAAATAAAACAAATCTTGAAGCGCCGACAAAGATGCAACGGACATCAGAATTTTCCGGTTATTTTTTATCCTTCCGGAAATAACCGATGAAGGCCGATGGATTTTGGCGTGTTTGTGACGTCATAGTATGATAATCTCCGAACGAAGTTTCATGCCTGTTAGTATCAGATTTGAGGTGATAGACTTTTTGATGCAGAATGAATACTGAACAAAAAAAAAAGAAACGCACAAAGTTCCCCCCTGCAGTTCACCTTAGCTGTAAGGAAATAATAGGAATATTTATTACATCAAGAACGATCTCCCTTCTCAACAATCTACCCTAAACTCAGCCAAGCGTGACGATGTCATTGAATGACTTTGTGAGCTTCTTTAGTCCAAATCACACGGCGTGATCAAGCCAAGCACGACCAGAGAGGGCGATTCGATTGTCGCACTTGCGCAACAGATTCAAGACTGCTGTAGAGACTGCGTCGCATACCTTAGGTACTCATGACAGACCCATTAGTCCTCAAACTGCCAGGAAACGCTTGCGTGCCGAGATAATCATTGCGCGCCGACCTTATGTCGGGCTACCTCTGACACCACGGAGGCGGCAAGTGCGTCTTGACTGGATGCGCAGACATGGCCCGAATAGATTTGTGATGCGTCCATGGAAGCGTGTGATGTTAACCGACGAGTCTAGATTCTGTTTGTATCGTTCAGACGGAAGAAAAAGGGTATATCGCAGACGCGGTGAGCGTTTCGCCGACGCATGCGTGGTTGCACGCGATATATTCGGTGGGCCTTCTGTAATGGTTTGGGGAGGCATCTCCCATGGAGTAAAATCCCCCTTCGTGGTCCTGGATCAAAACCTCAATGCCGTTCGATACAGAGACCAGATCCTCTAACCAAATGTCCTTCCACTTCTCAGACGTCATAACCTTATTTTCCAGCAAGACAATGCTCGACCGCATGTTGCCAGAGTCTGTCGTGATTTTCTCACGGCAATCAACGTTCAGCCTCTGGAATGCCCCACATATAGCCCCGATATGTCTCCCATTGAGCATCTGCGGGATGAGCTGGACAGGCGTATTAGGAAACGTCAAAAAAAACAACTAACCCCGCCCAGTTGATCGCATCATTAACACAAGAATGGAAAAACATTCCCTTAAGTCGAATAAATGTTCTCATGAATTCAACGCATAGGAGAATCCGTGCAGGGATTCGTGCAAAAGGTGCCCACAACAAGTACTGAAGTGTCATTTTATTTTTTGCGGGTATCCCACTTTGAGTAACTACTGATGACACGAGTGACGTCACACAGACTTTTCTTCTACAGTATTGTAAAGAGTAGACCTGTCCCTTCATATTGATATAAAATTTTGTACAAATTTCCCAAAATATCATAGGCTATTGATTGCATAATTTAATTGTGCGTTTCTTTTTTTGTTCAGTATATATTAGTTTTTACCTCAATAAATAAGTAACAAAACATGAAGATTATTTTCACTATATGAAGATGTTCATGTATAGGTTGAAACACAACTGTCTTTGCTTCAAGGATATACTTTCTGTTTCCCCACTGGACGTCTACTTCCGGACGAAAAAGATATAGGCAATGTGTAGTATCATACACTTGGAATGAACACATAGATAATACCGAACAATAAAATGGTCCAAAATGCAATATTGTGCTTTAAAATATGCATCTATTGTACTATGTAACTAGTGCTAAAATCGGTGGTGTACTTTTACACATGGGGGTACATGTTTGCGGAAACAGGTAATTTGAGCTTCAATTTAAAACTTTTTAGAGACATTGCATTTTTTAACTTGAATTTAGTGATTGCTGTCTGTTGAACATAGAAATAATTATAATTTGTATGAGGGAAGTTGCCTAAGAATGATGAGCAAATGTGGTTGGACAGGGAGGGGGTGATATTTGTGCAGGACAGCATACTATATTTCTGTTCTATTCAGATTCAGGTGCTGAAACCTGTTACACAGATCATTATTTTACTATTGAAATGCATGCAGATCAATTATAAATGTAAATTGAACACAATCATAGTCTCAAACCTCAGTATTAGGGTCAGTCATAGTCTCAAACCTCAGTATTAGGGTCAGTCATAGTCTCAAACCTCAGTATTAGGGTCAGTCCAACTATGTAGGCTTTAGCTCAAGGCTATATTTAGCCAAGATTTGAAGTTTTTATCAAGTGATGTATATATGTTCAGATACTGAACAAAACGTAATAACAGTGTCCGTCTTTGGAAACGACTGTCTGGAAACACAGAAAATGTGGGAAAGGTCAGGTTCATTTAGCACGTGGCAATTTCCCTTAAAGGACTCGTACAACTTAAGCATTTACTTTAATATGCTGTTACTAAGTTTTTAATATTTGAAGTTCAACATTAGTGGCAACTGTCTAGATTCACAGATACATACCTGACGAAAGTTTTCAAAGGGCTTTTTGGTGGGTTTAGTGGCATATAAGCTCACAACAGGAGACTGCTTTTGATAACCGGAAATGTACAAGTCAAACCTGTGCAGTTGGACCAGAACACCCCCTGTTATTTGACCCCAAATCAATCCGCCATAACATATTGAAATATATTTAAACTTTACGTTTATCTAAAGTTCAATATCTGTAGATTTCATTCAATGTAATATATGTCAACAATTACCTATTTAAATTACTCATAGGCACTGTATTAAACCGGAACAAATTGTAGATAGGGATTACAATCGTACGAAACAGGAACCCTAAATTAATATACTGATTTCGTTAGATTCGATGCCCTAATTGCGTTGACACATGTGAAGTCAAATTGTCGTCTACATACACGAAAGCATGCCGGGCTCAGATGAGGTATGCGATCACGCTGGTGTCAGTCAACCTTCCGCTAGCCCCTTACTACTCCCACAGACCTCCCACCTCCAACCCCCAATCCACTTATCATTCTGACAGTAAGACTATTGCTCTTAATGGTTTACAGTTAGATTTTTTTTTTCCCTTTTTCATTTGTTCCTTTTTTTGCAGTTGTTCACCTGAAGATAGGCATCAAGGGAAACGAAACAGTAAAGGTACAAAACTATAAAACAAACATCAGATATATTATTTTGAATTTTAAAAAAGAAATAATATGTGAAATGAGTGGAATAATAATATAAATTAGCGTTGTTTGAAATCATGTTTAAGACCGTTTGAAAAAATGTTTTATTGACGAAATATTTCTCAAACGCGTAGTCACGCAATTGCAGCAGTGTAGTGCTCTGGCTTTGTTTTCATTTACTGCGTAGCTGCAGTTATACTCTAACAAAAACTTTCGAATAGAACTGACATAAAAGGGTATTGTCAAAAGTAACAGAGTGTTTGACTTCTCAACTTAATAATGTATCCCCTGTCCAATTGTACATGTGTCGGAATCACATTGGCTTACAAAGTGTGTTGTTATACAAATAACTTGCAACACTATTTTGATACGATACCGCAAGCGAGCAAGTAGACACCGTTATTTTTTTTCCAAACTGACATGACAGTGCTTGTTAAAGCCGTACATCAATGGTCGAACATCTTTTTTTTTCATTTTTCATTTTATAATTCTTTGGGCTTTGCAGCAAATATGAAACACATTTTGATTATCTTTTTACCCTTGTTAGCGCAGATTTATCATGTAGCACGTCCAAATATGGGTTGAAACTGAATTATACACACACAGTCGTTGAGGTCACCCCACACCTTATCACTCCTTCGGGAATTCGAACCCAAGTTATTTTTTTAAAATGCAAATACACTATTCGTTGTATCAACGATCGCCAGTGGACTATGCGATTTACCCAGCACATTACTCTGGTTTAACCAGAGTTTGGCACCCTGGGATATAAACTATTTACTTGTGTGCCTCGCGTAGGAAATAGATGCTACGTTTCTACAACATATACATGGCGTCAATTCATTAATGTATCATATCATTCGTTCAATTGTTACTTTTGTATTTACGTGTATATGTGTTCACTACTTTAGCATTATATTTTGTGTACATATCAGCTTTCGCAGTTGTCCATCTGTCGACTATTCACTAATAAGCCTACTAGTCCAGAATGGCTGCATATATTTCGACCGAATTTAGTTTGGAACATACTAGGCTACACTTAACGTTGTATCATTAAAGGATCTGGTCCCTTTTGGGATAAATGGGCGGTGCCTAATAAGGGAAACAAGTCTTTAAATCACTATCCTTAATATTGACCGCAAACTGGGTCTTAATCTAAATCGGTATATAGCATCCTTTGGCCATGGGGATTCAAAATTGTATAATTGGAGCAGTGGCCTCCCTGGAGAAGAAAAGTTTGATCCAATATTCGAAATATAGGTAAATCTATCAAAAGTATGCTACTATATGGTTGAGATAATTGGGTTTTCTCTTGGGAAGTATGATTAGCATAAAGAGAGAGTGTTAACCTTGGGGTTACAGAGGCGGAGAATAGGGTAATATATTTAAAAAAAGATTCCCTTCTTACCATTTTAGAGGATATCGAACTCAATTTGTCCGCGGAATTATTGTGCAAAGGAGAGTAAACTTATCGTTGTATAAGAACAGGGTGTGGATATCAAGGGGGTAGAGGGTTAAGGCCAAATTAGTGGGAAATGGTTAGTTTCGTTTGGTAAATTATCTTAGGAAATTAATTATGTTAAAAAACTGATTTTATTAATGTGTGTTTTGTCGAATGGAATATGCCAACACTCTATTTTTAGATTAACTGAATAGTTAATCATTTAGGAATTCAATATGATAGCAATTAAAGTTCTATCATTAATGATAAATGCTTAAAATATATAGTTTGCAAAATTAACATTTACAAACAACGTTAATAAAAAATATTCTTCTGTCTGTTTCATATAAAAAACATAGCTTGGCCACATGTTAATATTTATTGTATCCATGATTAAATACCACATGATTTGAGACAGAGGGCCATGATAGTTATTTTGCTGTTTGTTTACAGAGCTGGCTATTCAAATATTGATGTCCAGTTGTCAAATGATGTTCACTATTTACAATTACAACGACGTCGCCAGACTGTCTTCGTTCATAGAGGATGCATTTTATGCAGCTACAGACGAAAAACAGCGAATAGATAAACTGACATTTGAAAAAAGTAAGCGGAAGTTTAAATACAATATACAATTTTCACTATTTTATATTTGATACATCAGAAATGTTCACGGGATGTCGATTTCAACTGTGAAAGTTTTTACTCAAATAATTAGTTATTAATCATGTACGGATATGCAATATTCCGGTTTTTGTGAGATCGAAAAAACTTCTTGTTTGAACCTTGGGCATGATCGATAGTTCTGGTTTTATCCAAGCAAAGTGTGTACAGTGTACTTGCATGGAGTGTAGGGTTCAGTAATTGGTTTCTTGTTGAAAACTATAGCCCTGAAAGTTTGACAAAGCACTCTCGTTATTACTTCTTTACCCATATATCTATTGAAAAAATATACGCATCCAACTAACATTTGTTTTGTTCGGATCAGTGCCATTACTGGATCAACCTGTAGTTATTATTTATGAGGCCTCTATACATGTATATATATATATATGTAAAATAATCAAAGTAAATATGTCTTTCAGAATGTATACAAGTTTTCATTACAATCAAAGCGGCAAACAGTCTGTCTGAGGCGCCTGCAGTCTGTCTAGCTGAACAGTTCAAGCACTATATATTGGATGTTGGATTACAAGTATCAGAAGAATCAAATGACATTTTAGAAGTAGACGAAGCAAGCATCAAAATAACACCGGAGCACATGCCTGAAGATGGTAAGTTATAACATATATTTTTAGATCTGATTTTAACGTTCGTCGAATTTGCAAGCCCATATATTTCCGTCGTTGTTTTCAGGACTTCCACTCGTGAACATTAGTCACCAACAGGGGGCTGTCCAACACAGCGAGTCAGTCATCTTGCAAACATATATCATCGCATCACCACCAGCTTTGTCAATCGAGTGGTTTAAGATAAAAGCTGATGATCACGAGATTTCTATTAAAATAGACTGCAAAAAATACTATGGATGCTCTGACCTGTCACCTTCTCTAATCATCCGAAATGTCAATGTTGATGATCAAGGATGGTATATTTGCCGGGCTACAAATAACAATGGAACTGGATGTAGCAATAAAACGTTCGTCAGGATAAGCAGTGGTAAGTATCTCTTTTACTAATAATGAAATATATACACTATAGGTATATACAACTTATATTTTACAATAATTTTGTTAAAAATCGTTGGACCTATGTATACTTTATTGCGTATGAAAATATTTGTTTTGTTATCTTATATGTCACAGGAAAACTTGCCAATGATGTTAATCCATGAGCGCATATATCTCCTTTATATACATACTTGCCTCTTTCTTTCAGTTTGCCATTTGCACGGTGATTTATGTTACGCCTGATAATTTTAGTTTAAAGCGATTTCGATTTTTGTTGTAAAAAAAGTCTTAATCGGTAACATCATGATGTTAACAGATTGACAATCGAGTCTAACGTGGTTAACGATTGTGTCAAAACAGATCTCATATCCGTATTTTGGCATTGATATCTGGAATTAACCTAGACATAGCAGGATATATTCGCGAAAATTGCGTACATCATTAAGATATGAACAAGGATAACACATTAAATGAGGCTCATTTGCATCCGCTGACCAGGCAATTTTATTTTGTTTGATACGGCATATTGGTATAAAAATTATCCCAAGAAATAGCTACCACATGTAAATCTAAACAGTGCTTCGTGGTGTATGCGTTAATACACATGTATTTAAGTTCCAATAATTCTAACAATGAAAAAGTTTAAGCACATCTAAATATTGTAATGACAATTTTTTGAAAATATAGCTTTTCTCGCTAAAATATTGCTATAATATCATTTTCAATACTTTTTGAAGGAAGCAATCAACTTGTTCGATTGCATTGTGCGCTTTGAACGGTTAAGACTTATGCGTATTTGATAATACAAGAATTGCATCAAATGATGTCATTTACAGGGAGCACAAGGCTTAATTTGATATCACGGCTAACAGTTAACTGCAATGTGACATAACGTAAAGACCACATGACTCGAAAATGGCACCATAATGCCGAAAACATGTGTATCATTACCCCATTGTGTATAAGATAAGCACCGTGTAAGAAATTGTAAATTGAAGCTACCGGATTAATCATGGTGTATTTTCCAATGTTTCTTTATATATCAAAACATTAACAATGATTTGTTTCCCTATGTAAACCAGTTTTTATGATTTCGCTTCGGTTTTCCGCGATTACGAAGCCTCTGACGACGTGACGAATTGTATATACCATTGCGTCGTCTAAGAGACCGGGTATTAATATTAGTACTACATTGTACGTCTTTCTGTCACTCGATATACCGTGCATCACAGGACAATTAGGTGTTGGTCGAGATCCATAATTCACCTGCACGAAGAGTAAGTGATCTAAAGCCGTGGCTCGGTGTGGCGTCCGTCGTATGTTTGTCAACCTTTCGTTGAAAACGCTACTAGCCCTGAACGGCTCAGTGGATTATGGCTAAATTTTTCCTGGAACATCTTTGGGCAAAGTGGACTCAATTTTGTGTGAACGAAAAAGGTGTGTCCAGCTGATCGATTCCTTTTGACACAGATATTGTACTATACAAATGAGATATATTCCGGGTATAACCATCAAGTCTTATAACTGTTTAAAATGGATGGATAAGCAAAGCGTTTCTGTTTATTATGACATTTAAACAGATTACAAGGAAAAAAATCTTTTGTCTTTGAAAATAAAATGGATTTTTGACAATATCAAACTTGAAATAAAAATATTTTCTCTGATTTTAAATGAAGTTTTTAAATTGTATAGAAATTACACATTAGAGGTGTATCTATATCGAAAATGTAACCCTAGCATTTCGATATATATATGTTATATACTGATATGACTAAAAACATATTGCATTGTGGTGAAAATAATGTACAGCTTGCAAAAAAAGTATAATTTTACTGTTATTTGATAAACAGAATCAACACGAGCAGAAGACAAACCTGGAAAACTGGAAACAGATATAAGCAACATCCCAGGTATGATCCTAAGTATATACACTGTACAATGTTTTACTACCAAATGGTAAGATTGATACACAACCAATTTATGACAGGAAATACACAGTAATCACTGACGTTCACTCAATAATTATTGCCCCAGCAAACTGAAGTTATCATTTCATAACATTACCACATAATGAGAATAACTTCCATGACGTCGTCAGAAGAACATATGGGCGGAACTATGTGAATTCTCTGCGAAAGAGACAGATTTTGTGACGCTATAAGAAGTAGATGTGGGCGGAGGTAAGCATAGCTTATATAATATCAGGTTGTTAACTTTATTGAATGGATCGCACGTTAATAAGGTTTAGGAATCAAATTTGTATTTGCTGATCAGATCAGAAAAAATAACCTGTGAATATAAGGAATATTTTTCTATTTTAGGAAGATTATGATGTGATCATCTGACTTGATATTTTTTATGTATTTTAGCTTATAGCAACTTTGTACATGTACCTTGACCGTAGTTTTCCTCACCAAGGGCACTTACGTAAATCGTAAAGGTGTTAAAATCCATGTGAAGGAGCTTTATATCAAACGGAATGCATTAAACAAATACTTAACGTCTAGTTGTGTTTGTATAACGGTCATACGGTATCGCATTATAGCTCTTTGTCAGGCACTGGCGAGGTAAAGTTCCAGTCACTTATTCAAAATGTTATTTACCTGTTCTGATTGATGCTGGCGTCTGGCCCTAGCCTGAGTGACTTAATTCTTGCTTCATAACGTTGAAACAGTTCGTATCCCCACCCCAAAACTAATATATCAATGCTGGGCATCAGGAGACAAACACAATCATGATATCATTATTGACCCCTGAGTCTGGACCCTGCCCTAAGGACTTCATTTCTTGGTCATAACTTTGAAGCGGTTGAGATCCCTACCCCATAACTGTGTGTTGGACCCTGCCCTAAGGACTTATTTTCTTGGTCATAACTTTGAAACGGTAGAGATCCCTACCCCATAACTGTGTGTACAATTGATAGGCATAAATAGATAAATACAGTCATATCAAATAACTTACCCTTGGGTCTAGTTCCTCTTCTAGGGACTTAATGTATAGGACATAACTTTGAAATGGCTGAGATTCCCAAATCATAGCCATATACATTGTATACATATGCTGGGCATAAAGATACAGGTGAACGATAAGGTTTTGTTGGCCTTTTGTTTTAAAACACCTAATACTAGTTACTTTATTTTTGTCAATAGTAAGTTTTATTATAAATGAATAGCACGGTTGTTGAATATTTATGTGATATTTATTCTACCTGAAATGAATTCTTTTTTTAATTGCCAGGCTTTTTTTCAATATAACTGTTCCTTTATATCCCTTGAAATTCAAGTTCGAATTGAATAATACTTCAATCCTAAATGATTGGATGCGTTTTATAAAGAACCCTGCTACAGTTCAAATTTTAATTTCTAGTGGACAGAATATTTGTATTGTTTCACTTACGTTATATAACTAATTGACATCGGAACGTATCAATCGGATATTTCTTCGTTTAATGATCTTTTTATTTTTAAATTAAGAGTGAAGTTTAATATGTTTTAATGAAAGTTATATAAAGTTGGTTAAGCAGATTGTATTAAGCCTGATCATCATCATTATTTTGGCCAGTTGAGTTCAAGGATAAAGGGCCACTTAATTTGTTCAAATGAATAACCTTTACCTATATTAAAGGCCACAGGGCTCAAATGAGTTAAACACTTTTAAACAACTTCTTTTGAATAACAAAACGTACAGGGTGGTGATATTTTGCCGGAAGCATGCTCAGATGAAGAGCTATCAAGTTTGTTTATATGAATGACCTTGGCCCACTTTCAAGGTCACATAAAAGGTCTGGGGTGGTGATATTTGACAAGTTGATGCTGGGATGAAGGGTCAAACAAATTATTAAAACTTAATGTCATTGTTTGATTATCAAGGTCACAGGTGTCAAGTATAGTTATCTTTTAGCAGGTTCTTTTGAATGCATTAGGGTCAAATATACTGGTTTTGGCTGTAGTATGACTTAAGTCCGTTTTTAAGGTTAAAATCTTTAAACACTTTTGTGTTTGCACTTTACACAAACATAATGTTTTCAAGTGTCTTAAAGTAAACACTTTGATCATGTCAAAAATAAAGCTATAAATGATGAACATTGCATTTTCTATATCAATTTGTTATTTACCACTAACACTTAATTGTGTTGTTATTAAAAAGTTTATTTTATAATCTTATTCTTCCATAATATCCCCTTAACGTCAAGGTCGAAATAAATAATACTTTGTTTTAAGTTGTTAGTGATTGATATGTATATCACTTCTGTATATTTCGGCACTTGTTTTGTCTCGATCTATATGACCAGGCCAATACTATCTAGATAGATTCGTAGAGCATCTATACAAGTAATGTCTATATAAAAGAGTGATAAGTAATGTCTACAGTTATTTATCTGTTTGTTCCTTTCTTTTGTTTCACATATCTGCCTGGTTATGACTGGATCCAAAAACAGACTGTAAGTGATCACTTTTTTTTTTGTTTGCACCTCCTGACCCACCTGTTCAAATTGTAAACTAAAGAGTAATTTCGCAATCACACAAAGTCTTTTACATGATTCAACTAATTACAAATGTTAAATGGCTAAAGCAAAGAACCGTTACACAATCCTTGATCTATTTTGGATAAGGTTTGGATATTATGCATTTATCGTTACGATACAGTATATCTCTTGGATGATTTCTTTCATCTTATAGTATACAACATTTCTAAATATATCACTATTAGAAAATAAATACGAAACATAAATTATAATTCAGAGTTATGGCCAATTATTCACTTTCTTTTCTTCTTTTTATCTTTATCAAGAAACACATCCGAAAACATTTTCTGTACTATTTCGTTATTTTCTGTTGACATTAACGTTTTGTTTTAAAACGTCTTATAATTCATTTTGATCCTGTCAGTAGTTTATTGAAGCTATACATATATTAAACCTTTTTTATTAACTATTAATTTGCTATGTATTGCCTGAAGTGAATTGTGTTATGATTATGAAGTTTATTTCTTATATCATTCTTCATTTATGATAAATAATGCTTTGATTCAATCTAGCTGTGATTGCTCGCATCATCTTAATAACTCTTACGACTCATACCTTGATATCCTGTAGACATCAAGTGATTAATACAATAACGTATCAAAAGGATGTATCTTCTAAAATGCTGCAGAATTGATGAATTCTTCAAGAACGGCATTTGAATTTAAAAACAAATGACAAATAAGAAAAACACAATGATTTTAGCACTATCACATTGTTGACGTTAATCTGCTTCATCAGACACAATAACAAGGCTTCCATAACTTTAACATTCAATGATTTCATCACTTTAAATGACACATGGATTTTTTGTCTTCCAATCTTTATAATAACAAAAGTTACATATACATATGATCAACTATTTGTGCAAAGTATTATGTACAATACGTACAATTTTAACATTATGCAAAACCATTATTGCACTCTTGAATCAAAAAGCGTCTATAACCTTAACATTTAATGATTTCATAACTTTAAATGTCACCTGTCTGTCTTTGGTTTCCCTTTCTAACGTAACAAAGGTTTCATATTAATGTGATCAGCTATTTTTGCAAAGTAATACGCATAACACTTGTGTATATTTCTTGTTTCATATATCTGCCTGGTTTTGACTAGATACAATGACAGCACGTAAGTAACTGCTTTAGTTTCTCCGCAAATACCTGGATGCATAACTTTGCTTTTCTGTTCAAATTCAAAACTGAAATTTCTTTTTCGCAGTCAAACACGGTTTTGTTTTTTGCACTCTCGAGCTAATTTTTCTTCGTTTCGTTATATTCTTATACCTCACCTTATTATGTTGACATCAACGTTTGTTATTAAAAGATCTAAAAACGTTCTTGTTTTGATCACGTGACCGACAGAACGGTTTTGATTGGCTAGCGGCATTATTGTACAATTTCATGAGGGATTCCCAGGCGGGAAATTCAAATTAATTTACTAATGTGTGTTTTGCCGTACCCCAATCCGATTCACGACACACTGGAATTAATTATAGCATTTACATTTGAATGATTATAAACATTACCTGCAAGCATACTAAGTTCAATGTTCAACATAAATTTATTTAACTTTAAAATGAATGTGTTTAAAAATGGATTAATACTGGAATGAACAATAATGTCTACAGTGATTTATGTGTTTGTTCTTATCTCTTGTTTCATATATCTGCCTGGTTATGACGGGATACAATGACAGCACATAAGTTGTTGTGTTATTTTCACTTCAAATAACTGTGTGCACAATCTGGCCTTCCTAATCTAGTTCAAAACTGAAATTTACATTTTGCAATCACAGACAGTTTTTTGCATTCTTGTGGTAATTTTTCTTCATTTGGTTATATGCACAAATGATTTTAAATGAAGTTTATATATGTTAGGGTTTAGCTGTATGTATGAATGTTAATGATATGGTTATAGAATATAAATGCAAATGACATAGCTATGGAATGCTAATGTGTTACATTTGTATATGCCGTCTTAAGAGAATTGCGTTGCACTGGTGGTGATTGTTTGCAATAGTATCCCCCCGATATCCCCTGATCTTCATGTTCGTAGTAAAGTGTACTTTTAAAAAGCTCTCAATAATTGATTGCCTCATCTAAGAATCTTACTTCAATTCAAACACTTATTTTCTAGTTAACAATGCATTATTGTTTCGTATACGTAATAAATTTAATTGGTATCGTAACGTACCCAAGGGACACTTTTCTAAAATACTTTGAAAGCAATGCATGTCAGAGTGAAGTGCATCAAGGTTACACTAAATATGTTGCAAACTGGGAGAGCAACACTTAGTTAAACTTTATCACATTAATTATTTGAACTTGTTCCATCAGGAACGAACAAGGAAAAAGTGTTAATATATAAGTTCTTTTAACTTTTACATTCAATTATTCGATCATTTGTTTTTCCATTTCGTCAATTACAAAGATTTCCTATTAGTGTGATAACCTTTTATTACACAGTAATAAAGTGGGTTCGCATATGTAATATATCTAATTTATATCAAAACGTATCCAACGGACACCTCTTGAAAAATACTGTGAAATCGATGCATTTCAGAGTGAAGTGTATTAAGGTTTGATTAAATATGTAGCAAAAAGGGAGACACAACAATGAGTTAAACATTATCATATTGATCACTATAGCTTGTTCCATCAAGAATGAACAAGGGGAAACTGTACATTTATAAGGTTTCTTTAACTTTAACATTCAATGATTCCATCACTTTAAATGACACACGACTTTCCTTGTTTTCTATTTCGTCAATTACAAATATTTCCTATTGATGTGCAAAAACTGTTATTACAAAGTAAGATGTGAAACACTTGTATATATATTTGGCGAATGTCTTTTCTGGATGTACTTGATCGAGTAAAAAACATATCCAGACTGATTCGCAGATAATCTATACGGGCTTCACTAGTATATATATGTAAGAATGATTTAAATATTTCGTCTGTAGTTGAGTCAATGTGGTTATATTGACACGCAAAAGGCCTTTTTCTATAGAATCCGTCAAATTAACTTATTTCTTTGCCATGGTGTATGGTGTTTTTTTTAAAAGGGTGTGTTTTTAAAAAAATGGATCAATACTAGAGTGACAAATAATATCTACGGTGATTTATGTGTTTGTTCTTTGCTCTTGTTTCATACATTTGCCTGGTTTGGACTGGATACAATGACAGGACGTAAATTATGGTTTTATTTTATCTGCAAATAACTGGGTGCACAACCTGACCTTCCTGATCAAGTTCAAAACTAAAATTTCCATTTTTAATCAAACACAGTTTTAATGCATTCTTGAGCTAATTGAGACGTTTCGTTATATACATATACGTGACTTTATTTTGTTGACATACGCGTATTGTTATCAAATGCTTTATAGATAAGTTTAGCTATGGTAGGGTTTAGCTGCATGAATAAATGTAAATGACATTGATATAGAATAATATTTGTGTTAAATACTGTCTTCAGGGAATTTATGGAGAGAATTCGGCATAAAAAATGTCAAACCCTGACACTTTAACTATAAAATATACATGCTCCAAGTCAGGAACCGTTACATTAGTGCATTTCACAACTATTTTATGTTTTTTAGCACAAAAAAAGGTCCAAAAATGTTTTCGCCTCGCTCCGCTCGGCGATAGATTTTATTCTACGCCCCCTCTTTCAAAATTCATGTAAACGCCCCTGTAAATATTGATGTTTGTTAACCAAAGAATTCACCTGGCAGTTTTAGTGGGGGCGTACCCCCCTCTGGCGGCGTACCGAGGAGGGGTGCGCCCAAAAGCGCCCTTCTTAATCCGCGCCTGATAATGCAATTTATATGTAAATGTAAACGATATCGAAAGTAAAAGTACATATATAAACGTATTACTGTATAGGATTCTCGTGAACTGTGACACACTGGGTAGTTGGGAAATACCCAGCGCAGAGAGCAGTCATAGTGAAATAGCTTCGTTCAAACTATAAAGCATAGTTAGATTACACACGTATCATTATACTTGAAATAATTGTTATCTTTAAATCTTCAAATAATTGAAATCATTAACACACAGTTAAATGTTCACCTGACAGGTGAATACAAAGATAACACAGGTGTAAGTGTGTACGGTACAGTCAATAGATGCACTTACTGTCTTCTGTTGTGTACGGGACCGCAGACCAGGACGACTCTAACGAAATCTAGGTCACACGGTACAGGTGTATTTACGTGTATTTAATTAGCCCGAGTTTCCTCTGGCCTGACACCAGACTTTGACATTTTGACAGATAGATGTCTGGTCTATCAGGGCTAGAGGAAACTCTGGCTAACATATTATATAGGCTAGGTTATCAGGAGATTTAATTTATTCATCGCATGTTCCAACATGCATTGGCCACTTTATCTGATTTGATCTTGGCTGTCGGGTAAGAATCTTTACCACTTTACTTTCACTTTCGTTTTATACGGCATTTCTTATCTGATTTGCCGTCTAGCCTTAGGCACTGTGAGCAGTCGGCATTTAATATTGCAGATATATACATGATAGATGTACTATATACCTGGTATATATAAATGCACCATTGACAAAGATGTGTCGCCACAAACATCCGTTAACAGAACTCACTATCTGTTATCCAAAAACGTCCATCCCCATCTAAAACCAAAAACCCTGCCGCTCAGGAAAAACCAGAGCTGCCCCAGGAAGCCTGTGTACTTTTGCTGACTTCCACACAGCACCGGTAAACAAGCGAATCACGGGACTGGTTTCATTTGTCGACTATGGCCGGGTACCCGCATTTAATTTTGTAGGTATTTAAAGATATAGTAGCGGCCAAACAAATACATCTATTATTTTAGATCTACTAAATACCTGTCAAGCTCAATGTCAGAATGTTACAATATAAGTAGATATTTGTCAAGGCAACTGCTTTAGTAAACAGCATTTGTCATGATGAAATGCCTCGGTAAACGTTTGGCTTTTAACATTTATTAACATTTCATATCGTAAACGCGTGATATGTAATACCATACAGGTGTGGTCGATGGTATTTGTTGCAGTTCCCCTATCATGCATCGAATTTCAACTTCCTCCTTGAAAATGTATACTACATGTATAAAACCTAGTCTGGTTCTGGAATATCGGGTGGCGCAGTTGATAGCGAGGCTCGCTTTTCACAAAGGCGACTAGGGTTTTTAAAATTCACCGATCGGACGTGAAAAGGTATGACGTCACCACCCCGACTACGTGTGTTTTCTCCGGGTACTCCGGTTTCCTCCTCCATTAAGACCCTCCGTGCGCTAACATCCGAGCCAACAATAGTGATTGATATCAGTTATATAACTTGTTCAATAATTGTTGTTAAATCAATAAAGTTTATAAATATATATACAGTATACGTATGTACGTATGCTACACCTTGTCATTGCTCTAGCGACTTCATTCCTCAACGGAATTTCATGAAACTCCATACAAGTGTTTGGTATGGCAATGGCATGCCTTGAACAAGTTCGCATTTCGGGTTTCTACATTGAAGGTCAAGGTCACTTTTATTTTTTCAGAAAAAAAAACTTTGTCATTAATCTTCTTTACTTCATTACTGAACTGAATTTCATGAAACTTCATGCAAGTGTTTGGTACATGTATAACAATACCTTAAACAAGTTTGCATTTCGGGTTACTGCGTTAAAGGTCAAGGTCTCTTTTACTATTTTTAGAAAAAACTGTCATGGCTCTATCGACTTCATTCCTAAAGGGAAATTCATGAAACTTAATACAAGTCTTTAGTATGGCACTATCTATAACAAGGTCTCCTTTCGGGGGTCTGCGTTGCAGGTCAAGGTCACTGTTACTATTTTTAGAGAAAAAAACTTGATTTGACGTATTAGCTTAGATATGCTTAGTCCATCATCCCCCTATCGGAGGTTTTGTTTGTTTGTTTCGTTGGGATATAACGGGAAATGTTAGTGAAGTGAGGAAAGAGTAAGTCATTGATTCAAAACGTTGTTGTGGGATCAACACATTAATTATTAACAATTAAAAACTAATATAGAACCTCAAGAACTCAAGTAACGGTTTCTGTTGATTTAAACATATTTTATTGATATACTCAAATGGATTGGGCACAAGTTATAACAACTTATAGAAGCGCTCTTCTCAGCTATAATATTACATTGATAGTGATAGCGACATTTGCCAATCAAAATAATTGTATGAAAACAAGGAACAGAAGAAATCATAGAGATGAGTCGAGTATATTTCGAATTATACAAAAGGTTCATTCATAGTATGAATATTTTTAAACTACTTAAACTTAAACTACTGCATGGCAGTAACAAGAATGTCTCGGACAAGTTTGAGTTTCAGGGTTGTTGGGTCAAGGTTAAGGTCACTGTTACTATTTTTAGAAAATCCTTGTCGGCGCTCTAGGGGCGGCATTTCTTGAAGGATTTTGATCAAACTTCACACAATTACAAAGGACCATAATATCTCGGACATATTGTAAATAGCATGTAAACATGGTTTAGAAACCTTAGGATACCTACAGACAAAATACAACTTTCAAGTTCAAGGGCCCGTAACACTGTTAAAAGGGCAATAATGAACTGAATTAAACTGGATAAGTAACACGTTATTACTCATTGGTGATGATATTCACGTCTCTTAATCACCCTTGCTGGTAATTGATAAAATACCGCAACAGCAACAACATATAACAATCATTTTATTTCATATAATTTCTCTGTCATAATACTAACATAACAACTTCTTGTATTATTATTACATTATAATCAATTACAAGCTAATTGTATACTTTTCATTTTCCCAAATTAGCACTAAAGTTTACCATTTTGTGTTAATAACTACATTGAAATAGCTAGCGGGGGCCGGTAGAGGACATGTATGTTAGCAATATTCAGTATGCTTGTTGATATTGCTTTCCACAGGTGTTCCCATATGAAACAAATCTTGCAAAGTATTTTGAAGAATAACAGCTATTCAAAATTTGACTATTTCCAAATAGAATTTTGGGATAACTTCAAACACTATATCGAAATGCACGTATATCTTTTCTGTATTTGTAGGTTCAGTAAATATGCCGAGAACATATGTAGACAATGAATCCAACCAAAGTCTGGGAAGGGTCGGAATGCCAGTCGGGAGCACGCCTGTTTCATCCGGGTCTTCCGCTAGTGGTGGCGGAGCAAGTTTCGGAGGATCCAGTTCCGGGAGATCAAGCTATGGAGGATCATCAACAAATACCTACGTAGACAATGTGTACAACCGTAGCGTTGGAAGAGTGGGAATGGAACATGGAACAGCGGTGATGTCAAAATCCTCCTCCTCTTCAATATCGCAAAGCTCTTATCCTAGAACATACGTGGATAATGCCCAAAACAGGAGAGAAGGTTGGGTGGGAATGGAGCATAGAACGGCGTTGATTTCAAGACCCTACTCCTCTTCAACATCGAAAAGTTATTCCTCTAAAACATGCGTGGATGATGCCCAAAACAGGAGAGAAGGTTGGGTGGGAATGGAGCATGGAACGGCGGTGATTTCAAGACCGTCCTCCTCTTCAACATCGCAAAGCTCTTCTCCTAGAACATACGTGGATAATGCCCAAAACAGGAGAGAAGTTAGGGTGGGAAAGGAGCATGGAACAGCGGTGATTTCAAAGAGTTCTTCACAGTCATCTGGTGCAAGAGTATATGTTGATAACCCCTTTAACCGGCGCTTAGGACGTGTTGGTTTGCCGCTCGGATCTATGTCTGTGTCACGTTCATCAGGAAGGTCCGGTTCTAAGACGGGACCACCAGTCAACCGGAAGGAAAGCAGCATGACACGTTGCGTTCGAGACTTGACAGAGAGATATTATGAGCGACCAGTAAGTATTTTTTGCAGAATCCGTTTTTGATACAGATAATATGCTTAATGTTACAGGTATATATGACATGCGTCCAATTAGGGGATAATCCTGCTGTATTTTGAAATTTGAGATGGTATATTGTGATTATACTGTCGCAAATTGAGTGTTACTGGCGAAGCGGAGCAGAGCCAGTAAAACGGATATTCGCGACAATATAATCACAATATGACACCGAAAATTTCAAAATACAGAAGGGTTCTCCCTATTCTAATTCAATTAAAACTACAACTACCTGAAAGAAATGACGATTTAAAGATATTTTTGAGTTTTTTCTTCAAATTCTGGGTCTCTCTGCTCTGGATTGGTGACGTCAGAAATATTCAAAGTGAGGCGGAATTACGTTGACCTTTCAGGTTCACGATAGTGTTCGTGGCGTCATGGATAATTAATTTCATGACGTTTTAGGGCCAGTCAAAGTCATCGACGTCATTAACAATTGCCATTCGAGCTTCATATGCAAATGAGAAATTTGCGGACGGTATATTATGGTTTAACTGTCGTAAATTATTTTGATTGCCCAATCAAATGTCGTGTTACATCTCAAATAAATAAGAATTTCCATTAGAAATTGACACAACCAACCCGGAAACTACTACATTGACGTTGGGTTTTTGCATCCTTTACTATAGTATTTAGTGAATTTGTAAATGTTAACGAAACGTATATAATGCTTGCTGTACCTTTAAGTTCTGTATTTCATTCGTCTTTCAGGAAGAAGATATGGACCTAGGACATCTACAAGAAGATTATCGGTATGTCGAGGAAGTTAGTGAACAGGCAGCGGACCTCATCAACCGTATGGAACAGGTCCGGTTATGCCAACAGGAATCGCAAAAGAGCAAAGAACCTTTGACGTCATTTGATCTTCTGAAAGGTTATCGTGGTGAAAGAATCGAATTTGATTAGCTGGATATGAGAAAAACGGTTGGCCATGGAGGATTCGGAGACGTCTATTGCGCTAAATGGAAGGGTACTGTAGTGGCTGTTAAGAAACTGCGGGTCCAGAGAATATCGAAGACACGATTACAAGAGTTTACTTCGGAAGTGCAAGTCTTCTGTGCACTCGACCATCCTAAAATTGTCAAGTTCATTGGCGCCTGTTGTGTGACCCCGAACATCGCTATCGTCATGGAGTTCATGGAAAGCTGTCTGTTTCAAATACTTCACATGTCTGCAGATTCGGATGCCACCCTTACAGAAGACAGCAAGCTGAGCATCGTTATTCAGATATCCCGTGGACTAGCATACTTGCACGAGAAAAACATCGCTCATTGTGACATCAAGTCCCGGAACGTCTTGATGGATTCCAGGGAGGGTGGTTACGTGGCGAAGATTACTGACTTCGGGCTTAGCATGATGAGAAATAGTTCCGATGCGCATGATCAGGTAAGAGTTGCACATTGGGTTTGACAAATATGTGTTTACAGTAGATACTATCGAAATTTCACGTTTTCCAAAAAGCCTGCTCTCAAAGAAAATCAATTGTTAAAAGATATGTAATTCATGCTTTTGACTGTTTACAAGAGCAGATCAGTTATGGAAAATGTAAGCTATATGTATAGTTATATGTATCCTACATTTTCACTTAAAATATAAAGCATACATTTTCCCTTATTGATCTGCTATTGTAAAAAAGCATACGTTTCTACTTTGTTGAACCCATACAGTTAAAGATGGGAATATAATACGGAGATGATATTAGGTGCGTGCTACACAGGACATTTTACAAACGTATGAAATAGGGGAAGCAACTCGATCTGTCTTGTCACTAGCATGATACCGCTACTGGAATTTATATATAATAGAGAAATCGAGTTACTTGAATTGATATTAATTTTATATTATTTTTATAGAGAAAGAGGTCGAGTTGTCTTCCAGTGTACATTCTCCTTGTAAATATCCCTATGTGTGCAGTTTATCTGGTTCGATTACATACATTTATTACCAGTATCAGACAGTATATAAGGATATGACAATGTTTTGTTTCTATTTAAACTGTTATGACTCGTGTAACGACACGAGTTATCATCTATGAAATACGTCATTTCGCATCTACTCAAATTGGTTTTTGTATGCCTGCATGGTGCGGCGTCCGTCGTCCGTCGTCCGTCCGTTCGTCGTCAACTTTTTACTTGAAACAACTTCTTCTGAATAATCAGAAGGCCCTGGATGATGATATTTAGTCAATAACATGCTGGGATAAAGCACTACCAAGTTTGTTCAAATGAATGACCTTCGCCCATATTCAAGTTCACATGGGTCAATTGTCTTAAAAACCTTTAAACGATTTCTTTTGAATAACTAAAGTGTTAAGGTGATTGTTTGTAGATGTGAATGACCTTGACACACTTTCCTGGTCACATATGGTCCATAGTGCATAGATATTTGAAAGTCATCTTCTCAATAATCCAAAGGTATAGGGTGGTGATATTTGGCAAATTGCATTCTGGGATGAAGGGCTGTAAAGTTTTTTCAACTTAATGTCCATGTTTAACTTTCAAGGTCACAGGGGTCAAATGTGTTTTAATCCTTTAACAGGTTTTTCTGAATTACTTTAAGTCAAGACACCGTTATTTTGCCTGTAGCTGTATTTTAGTCCTCTTTTAAGGTTACAATTGTTAGATTAATACCAGGTGAGCGATGAAGGCCCATCGGGCCTATTGTTTACACAGCAATGGAATTAGTGTAGGGAAACACAATACTTGGTTTCTCCAATTAGACCATGTAAAGGCCCGAGTGAAACATGATTAATAAGGGGAAACAAAGAATCGTGTTTCCAAGTATAAATACATGAAGTAAAGATGATCAACTTGTATAGCCATTTTTGCTGTCTGCTGTAGTCACTCGGAACTCAGCTGTGGCGGTTCTTGTCTAATGTTATAAAGAGGTTCGCTCCGATTAAGGGAAACATGACTGCGGAAACTCGAGTGCGTAACCCACTTTCAAGGTCACGGGTCAATTGTCTTAAAATCTTCAAACAACTTCTTCTCAATAACTAAAAGGCCCAGGGTACTGATATTGGGACTGTGGCATGCTGGGATAAATAGCTACCAAGTTTGTTCAAATGAATGACCTTGACCCACTTTCAACCTTATGTCCTTGTTCGACATTCAATGTCTCAAGCGTCATATGTTTAAATCTTTTAATTGGTTCTTATGAATCAAACACTGATATTATGCTTGTAGCTGTATTTTTGTCCACTTTTAAGATTACTGTGAGATTAATACCAGGTGAGCGATGCAGGTCCAATGGGACTCTTGTTTATTTCCCCATCATGTGATCAATATTATCAAATCAGACACACTAATATAGATATAAGGTATAACTATATGCAATAACAAGTGTCATTGTTGAACGTTTCCTGTGTTTTTAGATGTTGACTTCTTTACAATTGCCATAAGTTGAATCTTTGTTATTCAACAGGTGCGAAACATCGGAACCGCTCGTTATTCTGCCCCTGAAGTACTTCGTGGCGAGCTGTTAGACCGCAAGGCTATGATGAGAGCCGATGTTTACTCTCTTGGTCTTGTGGTGTTCGAGATCATCTCCGAAGATGAACCATTTGATTCCCTAAATGCCAAACAAATAGAACGTTGTGTAGGAAATGGAGAGGAAAGACCTGTGTTTGGATCTGACATAGATAAAAATTTAGAGGAAAACGTCAAAATATGTTGGAGCCGGAATCCGTTCCTCCGACCTTCTGCACCAAGTTTTCGTGATTCTGTTGAAAAGTGGGAGTCTCTCTTCATGTGACACTAAGACCAGCATTGACATTTTCTCTTGAAAGATGACATTTACTTACTTTGAAAAGAATAATGTGCGAGACGAACGCCGTCAGCAGTATGGTTGTGGCTTTTTTTGTTGAAGCATATTCTGTTGTCAATTGTTATGCTATGCTATATACACGAGGGTCGTTAAATAACTATTGTCACGAGTGTCAGGATTTACATGAATGAAGTATATTGTTTGATTTTCTATTACAATACTGTGAAGTAATCCCCCTTAGCAGAAACGCACTTTCGCAATCGCGCTATCCATGACGTAAAAACTGCGCGGTAATCTCCCCTTGATGTACTGGCGAGACGCTGGAAGATTGCACTACATAGAGCACTTATAGAGGCAATCGTTTCCATGAAAGCATTTATTTTAAGTTAAAGAATCAGAAAAAGTCACAGGGACATAGAGCTGGTACACAGGGTGAAAAATCATTTGTGTTACTCTCTCTTTCTTCAAAATGCCTGTACAATATTGTTTTTTTAGATGAAATATTGTCGTGAACTAGTTTGACGCCATTCAACTATTACGCTTGTTAGGCTTCAGTACTTTGTCTCTATACTTGCACGGTATCGGAACCACAGGCCCACTAGAATTGAAAAACAAACGGAATATAAAACGTACTTGGCGCTTGTGTAAAATCATTGCTTGTTATTAATGTGCCTTTGAGGTTCAAAGTAAAAGACCAAGGTCGTTTCCCTTGTAATAATCTCAGATAGCTTTCTTGAGTCGCTATATCCGTAATTTGACAATATTTTTTTCAGTGAAACTTAGTATTGGAAACTGTATATATGTTTTGATAACAGCGCATTTTAAACGTTTGGCCTTTTATTCAGATGTCAGCAAATCAGGAATCACTTGCAGCAATGTTCTTCTTTGATGCTGCAACAACTGACCTGAATGGCCGTGTGTTCTTTTAAATGTCATCTTTACCATTCTTGATTTTTTTTTCATCCACCTAAAGACAGTTCTCAAATTTCGGGTAGAGGTACATTTTTTTTGCATGTATCTGTTTTGGCGGTATCTTTAAAGCATCATGTGTTTTGATATTGAAGTGTATGTCGGATTAAGTCGCAACCTTCATTTAAGCATTGAAACGTAGCCACTAGTGACCAGTTTATACCCTTAAACAATGAATAACTTGATCAGTTCTTGTCTGATGATGTGGAAATATCTCACTGTTCTTCAAAGGCTTGTGCAGTCTGCCAATGCGCTAAACTCTTTTAATTGCCATAATATTGGATCCGTCTGTTTAAAATTCGGTCAAATATTTCTTTTTCTGAAAGATTTTTCAAGCTCGTAAATATTCTGAGTTGTGTAAGAGAGCGTGTATCCCACGAGTTGGTGAAAACAAATTATCATTCACCGCAAAAGTATTCAGGTGTAATAGCAGTGTGGTTTGCTATTCTTTGCGTTGTTTAAATGAAGGGGAAAAAACTCCTTCTATTTCTTGCATTGTATCAGAACCCGATCCATTGGTTACCCTCAGTGTCAAGGCCTCAATTACATCTGCATTATATTATAATTGCGTATTTTAACAGTAACTTTATGGTCCATTGTGGGTATTGTGTCCAAGCTAATTTCACTCGCTCCAATAAATTTATTTAATGATATATATTTGCACGTACTGACGTTTTAACATATTCCTTTTTACGGTATAAGATAAAGCTCATTGAAAAGGGAACTATATTTTATCCCCCCTAATGCGATTATAAGACGTATATGAGTTAGTATCAACTTTATCTCTATAAGAGAGGATATTTGAGGTATTTTAACAGTAACTTTATGGTCCATTGTTGCTATTATGTCCAAGCTAATTTCACTCGCTCCAATAATATATATTTGCACGTACTGACGTTTTAACATGTTCCTTCTACGGTATAAGATCAATGTCGTTGAAAAGGGTACTAAATTTTATCCTCCCTTATGCGATTATAAGATGTATATAAGTTAGTATCAACTTTTTCTCTCTAATTGAGGATATTTGAGGTATTTTAACAGTAACTTTATGGTCCATTGTTGCTATTATGTCCAAGCTAATTTCACTCGCTCCAATAATATATATTTGCACGTACTGACGTTTTAACATGTTCCTTCTACGGTATAAGATCAAGGTCGTTGAAAAGGGTACTAAATTTTATCCCCCCTAATGCGATTATAAGATGTATATGAGTTAGTATCAACTTTATCTCTCTAAGTGAGGATATTTGAGGTATTTTAACAGTAACTTTATGGTCCATTGTTGGTATTATGTCCAAGCTAATTTCACTCGCTCCAATGATATATATTTGCACGTACTGACGTTTTAACATATTCCTTCTACGGTATAAGATCAATGTCGTTCAAAAGGGTACTAGATTTTATCCTCCCTTATGCGATTATAAGACGTATATGAGTTAGTATCAACTTTATCTCTCTAAGAGAGCATATTTGAGGTATTTTATCAGTAACTTTATGGTCCATTTTTGGTATTGTGTCCAAGCTAATTTCATTCGCTCCAATAATATATATTTGCACGTACTGACGTTTTAACATGTTCCTTCTACGGTAAAAGATCAAGGTCGTTGAAAAGGGTACTAAATTGTATCCTCCCTAATGCGATTATAAGATGTATATGAGTTATATTAACTTTATCTCTCTTAGTGAGGACATTTGAGGTATTTTAACAGTCACTTTATGGTCCATTGTTGGTATTGTGTCCAAGCTAATTTCACTCGCTCCAATAATATATATTTGCACGTACTGACGTTTTAACATATTCCTTCTACAGTATAGGATTAAGGTCGTTGTAAAGGGTACTATATTTTACCCTCCCAAACCGATTATAAGACGTATATGAGTTAGTATCAACTTTATCTCTCTAATTGAGGATATAATTGAATTGGACATCAGCAAGCACGTATCTTTGCACGCATAATCCTCTCTCAGTAGCACGTACAATAGTATAAATGTGTAGCTCCGTAGTATTGTCAGTGTTTGTTTGAGTCATCTTTGAGTAATGACGTACTAGTGTGTTAGGCTGAAAACGGTAATATTAAGGTTTTCACTGGATAATCTCTCGGAATATTATAATGCAGTGCTACTCAAGTAATATATGCACGTGTCACGTGACGTTTTAGTACGGTGATATCAAAGTTGTTGGGTGTCTCGCGCCTTCAGACATGTAAAGTAACGCGCGGGCGGTCACCCATCCAGCTACTGACCACGCTGCTGAAATAGTGAGCGTGTCCCCGGGTTGTACCGCATCACTGGAAAAGCTAACTTGCCAGTAAGGCAGTACTTTCCCCACTAGCATTCCTTGGCTGTAGTCTGTCTATTTGTATATGCTAATGTGGTAAGTTTTTGTATGTAAGGCCACAAAATATAAAGGGTCATGTCAAAATTATGACTATCTTGCTCATGGGTGTATTCGCTGAGTGTTTAACACCTATGCCTCTACGCAGGCGGCAAGGGTTCGATCCCCAAAGTCATCGTACGCATTGAAACTCCAACAACCGAACTGGAATATAAAACCGTTCCAGGTGGGTGTTGTGTTATCTGTACTGTAGCTAAAAGATGCCGTTGGAAGCAAGGTCCCTCTACAAACAGAACCCATTACATCTCCAGCACACACGCAGGCATACACACATATTGAGATATCAGCCAGGTGGCATGGAACTAGTAGTTAGCGCCTTATAAGGCAGATCCAGCAAATTTTTCAAAATTGTATTGATTTATGTATTTTTTAATGTATTTGTTCATTCTTTTGATTGTATTAATTTCATATCTATGTAATGTGAAGTGCTTTAGCGTGGCTTATTCTAGCTAGATAGGATGGATGCTGTATCAAATGTTGTATAAGTATTTGTTATCCGCCGCTTTCACCGAAACGGGGGATATTAATTTGGGTTTGTCCGTCTGTGTGTCTGTCACGCTTCGTTTCCGTGCAATAACTACAACAAATATAAACAGATTCTCTTCAAAATTGGTTACAGGGTTAAATGCCTTAAGGGCTCGGCCAGGTTTGATGACCACTTTCAGCGGAAACCATATGGCGGAGTTATGGCCCCTTGAAATACGAAAAACAAGGCTCGTCTAAGTTCGAAGACCATTTTCAACCTACAACTTGTCCTGAAAGCGGGGAATTTAAATTCCACGAATTTGCTTGTTTTATTATATGTTTAGATAATTTGTATCTTATCGACGATGTTTTTGCACTCACTAGCTATGTCTGCTTTCGCATTTTTGTGAACCAAAGCGGTTTAAATATGACGTAACCGACTTCAGCCTGAATATATGAGTCATAGGCAGATAATGTAAACTAATGCCAAAATAAACCTACATAAACCTGTATCACAAAAGATAATATTAGCGGGGATACGTTTGATTTTAATCATCATAATCATTTGATTTTATGTGCACACTTATTTTGAAATTCCTATACGCTTATAAATGGATGGATTCTATATCACGTGTTTGTTCTTTTTTTGCAAAACAAAAATTCATTATTAGAAAAAAAAGAAAACTCAATGAAATTACATTTTACATAGTAAAACAAACACTCATGTTCATATAAAAACTTACATACATACACTATACATACACACACATACACCCACACAGACACCTCTATATTCCGCATCTCCGTGTGGCCTACAACAAAATGTTTGGTTTGAAATTAAGTGCTACCTTTGCAGAAGAGGGAGAGAAAGTATGTGCAGCCCTTTGACCTGGAACCGGCACCGGCGTATGTGACAGTCGCACAGTCTACAAACGCGCGATTTACTTTCTATACATGTAACAGTGTTCTCATGTAACACTATTTTGAGTCCGTATACTTGTACTTTCTTCACAAACACTTTCGTTTCTTCAGTAATTATAGAGCTTTCATTTCCTGCAATAGTTCTTGGTTCTATGATGTACAGTGAATCACATCCGCTATCCACACTAATTCTTGGTACTTTCAATTTCCACAATAATAAACAGTAATCACACTTTCGCTATCTCCAACAATTCGTGGTACTTTCATTTTCCACAATAATGTATAGTGACTCACTTTCACTATCACCAACAATTCTTGGTACTAATCTCATACAGGCTACTTTTGCTTGGTACTTTTGCTTTCTACCTCGATCAATGGTACAGTTGTGGGACCGCACAACGCACCAAAAAATGCGTGCGCACACCGTGCATACATCGTTCACACACCGTCCGCACATCGTTCACACATGGTGCGCACAACTGTGCGATTTAGCAATCGTTCGCCCCGTTGTGCGCTTCGCTCCGCACAGCTGTGGGATTTGGTTTCATTTGTAGATCAAAATTACGGAATGACAAAAATACGGAAGGCTTGTATGCGATAATGTACACTGTGTATATATCTGTAATTTCTCTTCACAATAATCAAGATTATACAATTTCACAATGCGTGTTACACAGTATTACAGCGACAGTTTGGCTGTCAAGAATGGGTTTGGCTCCAAGTTAACAGAACAGGTAAATAACAATTTGATGAGTGTCCGGAGTTTTACCTGACCATTACGTGACACACAGTGCTGATATGCGATACCGTTTGACCGTAATAAATAGCATTTGTTATTTGCATTCGTTTGCCTAAAGCTCCCCTTCACCTAGATTTTCACACCCCCGGCCTTACCCGACGAGTTACGTAAGTGCCCCAGGCGGGGAGAAAACTATGGTCCAGGTACATGTACAGAGTGGTTATGTTTACCTGTATACGGGATTGTGCTGTAATTTTACACGTGACAGTGTCGATTACGTTTGTTTAAAAACACAGAAAACACAATTTATAAATATAAGAATGTATAGACAGAATGATAAGTTTATAGATGTTCCTAGAATATAAAAACATACGTAAACATCAAGTTTATATGTTTAAACACGAAACCGTATAAATTGTTAAGGCATTCCTCAATTTACACCAACCACGATTGTTATCGCACAACGTCCGTCCATCGTGCGCACAGATGTGCGCAAGCAATGGTCGTTCAGCTTTTTATCGTTCGCACATCGTGCACACACCGTTCACACACCGTGCACACATCGTGCGCACACCGCACATCGTGTGACGTTGTGCGATCCCACAACTGTACTTTCACTTTCTACAACCTTTAAATATATTTCTTTCCCCCTTATTAACACTTTCCCTTTATACATGTAGTATTATCATTTAATATTTTCACCTTCTAAATATTCTATCATTCATATATTAAACTAACCTTACTTTATGCAAGAATGTAGTATGGTAATTTCATTCCAGCACGTTTTCTAAATATCATAATTTTTATTCAGTTTTTTGATATTTTCAATTTCTTAACAATACTTTTTGTCTTCATTTAATAAATAGAGTTGTACAGCATTCTCTCTGCGACAGTATAATCAGTATTGTGAATGTCAAACGGTTTAATTAAGAAATAACTCGTCACTTATATACATTGCAAAGCTAGACGTGTCAGATATGGTCGTAGCGAATTGTTCCCACGTGTTGTATGTCTTGCGCTAGGAATGGCTCCAGCGTTTGCATATTCATAAAGACTGACATCCAGTCCATGAAAATAAACTAGTTTTCCTAAACTTTGTCTCGAACGTGCAAACAAGCAAGGGCAAGGGGCGTTCAGAGCCATTTCTGGCCTCATCATGAATTGTAGATAGGTTTTAGAGTCCTTTTACGTTAAAACTAGACAATTGACATTGCAACACGTTTATAAACAGTGATTTGATAAAACACTTCTATAAAAAACATATTACAAAATTGGATAGATATTACGTTTTCTAGTAAATGTACCGTATTTACTGCCGAAAATGTCAATGTTAATATTCACTAAAAATCAAAGAACAAAGTTGTAAAAAACACTGTCAGTAATACCGTTGGCTACCTTTAAATGTTAATTTTGGATTGAACATCGGCAATAATCTGGTAGAATTTTCCATATCTGCCCTGAAGAATCGATGTTTTATAAAAAAAATCGTGTTATCTTGATAACCCGTTTAAAACTATTTACAACAAAACAATATGTTCTTTGAAAACAATTAGCACATTTAAATTCGCATATATGGATTTGACCTATGTAAATATAGATAAATCAATGCTATGTTATAATCACAAAACCCGTGATGGGTCGGTATTCATGTGTTTTTAAATGATTTCCTCATCTATTGCTCACAGTTTGTGTTCGCCTTAGGCCAGAATTGTGTAGGCGACGTAACATAGATAATGAACCCGTATTATAATAAAGAACATGAAAGTAAACATACAGTGATTATAAAGCAAAAATAGTGAAAGCGAAAGTAAACGTATATGTTTATGATATGTACAGGCTTGTAAGATAACTTCCTCACCCTGTATATGTGATCACAGAACTTGACACACACTGCAGGGTTGGCTTCGGTACGGGAGCAACAAGCAGGTACGTGTTTTATTTTTCTCACATTACTTTTTATTTTGTTTTTCTCGCGTCAATTTGACTTATTAAGTACTTGTATACCAACAAACTTTCGATAAAACGCATTGTTGCTGTGATAATTTTTAATGTTGAGATGACAGACTGTTCACGGCTACATACAAACTTAATGAATACAATAACTGGCAAGGGATACACACAATGACATCAGTGTCCATATCTCAGTGTCTGTTACGGCACGATTTATCAACCAGACACGATTTCTCACCCGGGTGAGAGACATCGTGCTAAAAGTGCTGCGTTCGAAATACAATTTCTCACCCGGGCAAGATTTCTCGGCAGGGTGAGAAATCGTGCAAAACTAATAGACATAGGTGACACTTTTTCTCACCCAGACACGATTTCGCACCCCAACTCTCAATTGGGGATGGATTTTATCCGTGGTGTCTTAAACTTGCCTTAGTTTACATGTGATAGAATAGCTAACATGAATTTAAATGAATAGTATTTCAATGTACAACATGCCTAATATTTATTGATTGATTTATCTATCAATCTATTTATTCATATATTAATATTTAATTTATTGTTGCTTACCGAAAGTAGATCTAATCCTCTAAAACACATAAAATTCCATTTTAAAAATTTCGTTTCTATGCTATGACTATTGGACTAAATTTTTAAGGTTTTGTCCATATAAATAAATGCACTTCTGGTCTTTATAGCATATAGAATTGTTTTTGTTATATAATGTTGTTTGAAACGTTAACACAGGTGGTACATAACAATAGTTGATAGACTACTAACGTACGATACCACAGCATAGCATTACAGACACTTCGAGGCAGGCGGGTAAAAATATTTGATATACAAAGTAACTTGAAACTAAATAAAAAGACCACAACAGGATCCGAGAGGAGACATATAAACAAACCAGTGTTCAAACATTACTGAGACTGTGATGGGTGTTGCGGAAAGTTAAACGCATTTTACATCATATCATGTAATACCTGTCGTAATGCCTGTCACCTTGTTGAAGGTCACCAGCTCCCGTGAATATATTTTAAATTATTTATGCACTGGAATGCTTTAGCTGCAACTCAGATGTAAACAAAATCCGATACTCTTTGTTATGATAAAGTGAACCTTTTTTTTTAATCATACCATATCTATTCTGTTCACATAGAATCAGTGAGGCGACAAACCGGTAGACATTTACGGTGGCCCGTTAGAGCTTTGATATGAAAATGGTTTATTAATGACTGCCATTGATTTATCTGGAGGCGAGGCCGCTAATTGCTTATCAAACGGAAGGTTATATATCTATAATTTATTCATTTACTTATGAAATACGCAACAGTAGACTTAAAAAATCTGCATAGATTCAATCAGACGATGAAAAACAAATACTGTTACCCTATACATACAATGCACTCGCGCGCACCTTCTTAAACACATTCAAACGCAATCCGGTTCACCTTAATTAATCCGTTACGATACTTCAAGATGGACTCCGACATCATCAGTATCGTACGGGAATCTGCATGTCGGAAAGCCAACAACAGCTGGTCACTGTAAGTCAGTTATTCCTCTTAATTTAGAGTCCTTAAACGGTCGGTCGGTGCCCAAATGCCCCGTGGTATAATAAAAATATCCGCGTAGAAAACCAGAACCGTAAAAAAGCAGAGAGACAGTGGCGAAGGACCAAATTAATCGTTCACCAACAAATTGATAGGGAACAAAATCAACTAGTTCACTTCTCATTCAGTCAAAGAAGGCTTATTATTTCGAAAGAATTGAAGAATGTGGTAAGGACCGTAGACTTTTTAGACTCACCAAAAACTTAAATGGTCAGAAAGGTGAAATTACCTTACCGAGCTGTAATTCTGAAAAAAACTTGTCAAACAAGTTCAGTGATTACTTTCTGAATAAAATCAGCTCGATCAGGAAAAATATATCGGAAATGAACCCGACTGCTGACAATGACACTTTGTCATGACTGCTGACATTAAATTTGATGTGGAACCATTGACAAAGCTCTCACTAACAACCCAGGACGAGTTGCGCAATATCATCATGACCTTGCAATCGAAGTCCTGTGAGCTTGATCTACTGCCTACAGACCTATTAAATCAATGTATTGAAGCATTGCTTCCCTTGAATACCTCAATCATGAACCAATCATTGGCTGAGTCAAAGGTTCCAATGTGTTTCAAGACGGCACATGTAAGACCATTGTTGATGAAGCCTGGAATGGACAAAAAGGAGTGAAAGAACTACCCCAGTATCAAATCTGCCTTTTGTGTCTAAGATCTTGGAGACGGTTGTGTCCCGGCGTTTAGAGGTTAATATTCATGCAAACAGACTCCATGACAACATGCAATCGGCCTACCACATGCGACATTCTACTGAGACGGCCCTTCTACGTGTACATAGTGACAAATGCAGAGCGTTGCTTGTCATGCTGGACTTGTCAGCTGCATTTGACGTCATCGACCATGGCATACTTCATTAACGTCTGGAGTACTATTATGGAGTGACTAATACCGCACTATGCTGGATACAGTCGTATCTGAGTGAACGACGACAGTGTGTTGCCATCGGATCCACCACCTCACATGACAAAGTAGTAGATTTCGAGATTCCTCAAATCTGTTTATTTCACATATCTTTGTATACCATTGTGAGTCAAAGATGTTGAGATAAAATAAAACAAGAGGACCAGAGTGCCTGTATCGCTCACTTGGATAATAAAAAAAACATGGGAGAGTATTCTTATTACAAACAATCCCTCCAATGCTACAGAAGAAGGATTTTAAAGATGTAAACTTCAATTTCCCTTTTGAGCCCCGCCCCTCTGCACCCAAAGGGGCTACACCAACCGTTTATACAAGATCAAGTCATTTTCCCCAAGGATGCTCCAGGCTAAATTAGGATTGAAATAAACTACGGTTGAAGCAGGGTTTTAAAGGTTTTACCTCTATTTCTCTTATTGGGGCCCCCCCCCCCCCCCCCCCTTACCCATGTTGTCTAAACCAACCATTTTAACAAGATTGAAACCCCTTGGCCCAAGGATGCTCCAGACCAAATTGGGACGAAATCCCTTAATCCCTATGGTAGAAGAAGGATTTTACATGTTTACTTCTATTTCCCCTATGGAGCCCCATCCCTCTGCCCCAGGGGTCACACCCAATATTTATACAAAATTTAGTGTCCTTGGCCCAAGGATAATCCAGAACAAATTAGGATGAATCTCTTAATCCCTATGGTAGAAGACGGATTTTAAAGGTTTTACCTCTATTCCCTATTTTGCACCGCCCATCTGCCCCCAGGTACTCAATTTATACATAAATGGCCCATTGGCCAAAGTGTGATCCAGGCCAAATTTAGTCAAAATCTACGGTGTCGTTCACGACTAGTAGCATTTTAAAGGAAAAGTCGACGGACGATCTGAAACCAGCCAAGTCGGTTTAGCCCTAGCTAAGATAAAATTTCTTAAATCTAGTCTCTGAAGTCCGTCTAAAATTCTAATAAATCGTGGGGTTAATGTTTCTCTGCAACTGTGTGATTTATATATCTCAATATTACCAACCAAATTAAAGATTTAGTGATTGTATATCATTTGACAAATGTCTTTTAAGGTCATTTAGAAAAAGGCACCTTGTTGCGTGGTGATATTGATCATATATTAAATGCAACAATGTGCTTTTAGTAAAGAAAGTACCTTGTTGCATCAAAATGGAATCAAATCAGAACAAGTTGTTTCATGCAACAAAGTGTTTATTTATATATATTGCATTAAAATGCATATAAATTCAAGCAGAGTACACATATGACATATATATTAATGATTATACGGTTTTTGTGTACAATGCAATGCTCACGGATGCTGTTTAGTGGCTTGTTTCCGGAATGAAATCGGGATAAAAGGTCAACTATTTAGTGCCAGCAGTTGATGTACTAACCATTATATATGTGTGAGTGAACCATTGCTTTGTATATTATTTTGTAAATAGTCTTGCAATTATCAGGTAATATAGTACGGTTATATATAACTACACTATTTCTACATGTCAGTGGTCTCCTCCTCATCCTCCTCGTCCCTTTTTTTTTTTTTTTGTCTGTAACTAAAGCGTTGTAGTAGGCATGACAATCCTCAGGTATTATTCCAGACCAACACAATGACAGTAGGTCATTTTTTTTTGGCCACTGACACAGGCCGTTTTTCAGTGTAGCATGCCTTCAGCTGGTAGTGTCCGTGTGATGACCGCCGCCTTGTAATCCGAATTTCAAGAAACTGAGCCGGATCATACGTGTAATTGATAAATTAAGTGTCTGGTGTTTCCTTCCTCACTTGTAACCACTTAATGTTCATCCAGTTGACGCGTTTGCCCTGAACATCGACCTTCATGTTTCCATACATTTCGGTTTTTAGAGCTTTTAGGTCATAAAAATCGTTGAATTTCAGTGGAATCACTACATATGGCTTATTCCTCCTTGCCATTGACTAGGAACGTTGATTTTGATTTTTTTCTTGGCATGTTCAACAGCTGAGTGAATGGAATCGGATTCCATATTGGAATGTCCCGATTCAAAGAACTTTTGCTGGCTTTTCTTAATGGCGCACAATAACCCACTTGCCATGAATTGATTTCGCTTTTGGCCCCCACATGTGTCACATGTGTCAAAGTAGTATGTTATTTCCTTCAAATTGATGGTTTGCTCTGAAACTGAGCTGATTTGTTTGAGTACGCAACTTCCAATCTCATTTGCTCCACGCCCACCTTGAGTTTTATCCCATATGTAACATGTTCCCTTTTGATCAGCGAGTGAATAGTACGACAAGTTGTAGCGTAGCAACTTATTGTGCTTTTGTAATACAACTCACCAACAAGAGAACAGGGAGGTGGTAGCACAGCTTCCAAATCAAACGTTGAAACATGAACCGATTTGTCGTTTCTTGCTCTGTCTTTGTCTTTTTGTTTTTCCTGTCGTGCCCACATTTT